TTTTTAGTTGTTGCAGTTGATTTTGTTTGTTTGCTTGAGCTATTTTTTTTTTTTTTTTTTTTTGTTTTAATTTTGTGTATTTTATTATTTTAGTTCGTTGGTCGTTTGGTTTGATCGTCGGTATGGTTGCTTGACAATCTGTTAGTTGTTTCGTTTGTTGGTTGATTAGTTGGTTGGTTAGTTGGTTGGTTGGTTTGGTTGGTTTGTTGGTTCGTTTGTTAGTTGGTTTGATTTCTTGCTTTTGTTGCTATTGTTGTCATTATCGTTGTTGCAAAGAGGCCCAAATGCCCAAATACAATTGCATACAATTGCATACAAATTGAAGATACAAATATAATAACAACAACGACAACGACAACGGCAAATGGCAACAACAACAACAACAACAGCAACAACGATAATAGTAATAACAATAATAATAATAAATAAGACAGCTTTAGGTTTGTTGTTGCCGTTGTTGTTACTATTTATTTTGCCAGTTTATCAAACTATGAGGTGAAATAGTTTGTTTTTTTTTCTTTTTTTTTTTTTGTTTGTTTGTTTGTTTGTTTGTTTTTTGTGTTTTTTTTTCTTTTGGTTTGCTTCTTTTGCATGAGTTTTGGTAAGGTAAGAGACCATCTAAAAGGAAAGAGCGTACGACAAGATAGTGAGAGCGAGAGAGATGGTGCGAGAGAGAGAGAGAGTGTGTGGGGATCGGGGAAAATATTAATGGAATTTTTCTTTACACAAATATGGAATTTTCGAATTTTTATTTAAATAATTGAAATTGAATTAAAATCGTTTTTTTATTTTATTTTATTTTTTTTTTATATGTATTCTACACGTACTCACTCAACGACATATACATACATGTATATATTATTCTTTTTGTTTCTTTTCTTGAAAGCACTATAAAATATAAAATAATAAACTTTTGCGTTTTGTTAACTGTACCGTTTTTCACTATAATTCGAAATAATCGTCAACAATGCAATAAAATATCTATGTAATAAATATAAATAATAATAATAATGATGAAAATGAAAAAAAAAAAAGAAGCGATATATATGTATATATATATATAAATAAATATAACAGAGAGTTAAGGGTTTTTAAGGGTTGCTTCGATAATTATTGGGGTACATTAAAATTTATAATGAAAATACGTGAATTATTTTTAAGAGACATTACCAATACAAAACTAGAAAAGAAGTAAGACTTAACCATTTTATTTACCAACCCTCGTCGTATGCGGAAATTGCATCAGATTTTGTCATTTAGCTGTTAATTTATATAAAAGTACGCGTCAGGGACGAGAAAAATGATTTATGCTTTAATTCAATGTATGTTTTTTAATTTTTAATTTTGTTCATGTCTGTCTTTCTATCTGTTTGGCTGTACAGAGAATTCGTAACGAATGCGAAAACGAAGGAAAAGAAAAAATTGGCAATAAATGATATTTGAATTAGTTAGCATGACCAGGTTATTTATGGCTATTTCCTATTCTCACTCTTCGTACGGCTTTCCGATCATCTTCGTAATAGACGTACAGATGATGTCGCCTATATGAAAAAAAAAAAAAAAATAAATAAATAAAAACCTATTTGGAAATATTGTTGAATGTACCTGACTATCTCAACAAAAACAATTGTCCTGCTATTAGCAATTGCCTACAAACACAAGTAGATCAAAATCAAATTTGATATATAAAATGTTTTTCATCATTGTTTGAAATGTAGGCAATCAACAGAAAACACCTGCATATTTATTTAACATGTAACATGTATCCCGAGAATTTTGCCGGAATCTGAACCATACTTCCTTTGCGAGTTATTTATTTATTAATTTATTTTTTATTGTTTTTTTTTTTGTTTTTTTTTGGAAGAAACCATTTTCTCTTCTTCTTATTATTCTTATCGTTAAAAATAATGAAAAAAATATGTTTTTTATTTTTTTTTATTTTTTTAATTAATAAAATGCTTTTCACAAGTGTAATAAAATTATAATAAGTTTGGAGCGAATTTCAGTATAAACTTTTTTGAAAATAAAACATATGTAAAATTTGAGTATGTAAATGAATCGATTATCGATAACTTTTTTCCTTATATTTTTTAAAAAAGTTTGCATCAGATTGATGATATATTTTATGACAATTAAAGTCGTGCCAGAGATGGAGAACGATGGAGTTATAAAAATGTATATTATATAAACGATCATTAAGTTGCTATTAATTAAAAAGTATATATACTTGATAACGTTTTCATTCGTAGTTCCGACCTGTACGAGCCCGAGACGCCGGAACGGCATAATTGATATGTTTTTTAATTTAGTCTAGTTACTCTATCCGATCGCAAATTTTACCTAATATTTTCCAAATTTTTCATTGAACTTTTTGGTCACATGGATAACTTTTCAAGTCAAGTTGTTGGGGCGTCTAGCGTTATGGACAAACTGAAAAAATTGGATCATTGCTTTATATAGCTTTATATAGCGAGTGTCCCTATAAGCTTCTTCTTTCTTTCTCTACATATACGTTGAATGACAAACGAGCGAACAGCCCTCGTGGCGTAAACAATTTGAATTAAAGAACAGTTTTCCCGAACAGTTGGATTTATTCTTATTCTTATTCTTGTTATAAATTTAGCCAGAGAATAAATTCTAAGACTAAAGTCCTAAAAGCACTAGCATCTAAGGCTTTCGGCTTTTTATTAAAAACTCTACCGCAATTGAGATTTGAACCCACGACCCCACGATGTAGTTGCTAATCGAGACTCTTGCCTACTCGGCCACTCAGGCGGATTTATTCTCTTAATGTTTTCGGCCAAGAGATTGACTATAGCCTATTGTTGTATTAAAATCTAAATAGCGGGAAAAGCGATTAATCAAATTTCTATCAGGTAGTACATAATAGGCCACATCTGAAAGAAGTCATGTTAATATTAAGTCTCTGCCTCATGAATTTAAAGGATTTTACCATAGATTTTTAATTCAGCTTCCAATTGATGGCTTACTCATTAGTCGTCGCATGAAAATCATATACCTGTGCGTTGCCAACGATACAATCAATTAATTGAATACATTTTTTAAACAAAAGGGAGTAACTATTAAATTGTGTCCATGAAAAAGTATTAAAAAAAAAAAAAAAAAAAAAAAAAACATTTGATTCCTGCACACGCACTTATTACTCAATCTGTGTATATGTCTATACCTATGTTATCCATTTTCTTTCCTTTGCGTTTATCATCTGTTACCCATTGTTTATTTTATAATTTTTCTTCTTTTTTTTTTTCTTTTATGCTCTTCTTTATCTCCCGGCCATAAAATATAATTCGTTCTTCATTATAATAATTATCGACATATAATGGTATATATATAGTATTTCGAAACTCTTTGCGACGATCAAATATATCCTTGAATGACCTCAAAATATTTAAATTTAGCTTGGATTAGGATAATCACTTTAAGCCCGTTAAACTAAAACCGGCTCTCAACTGTTCGTCCGTCTTCTATATTAGAGCCATTCATGTCGCATAAATTTAAAACAAAAATCTACTGCTCTGCACACAACACTTAAGACCAAAAAAGAAAAAAAAAAAAAAAAACAGGGGGAAGGGTGACTGATGAACAAGTCTACAACACGCTTGTTACTTATATCGTTTGCTAGGTATTTGGCCCAAAATTTGACAACGATGTTTATTGAATCCATGCAAAAATTGCAGTTTATATATGTGTGTATTGATACGCCACGCCTATAATTCGTGGAATACTTTACGATTTTCCGCACCGACTTGAGATGGTTGCCGAGTATCGCGTCTAAGATTTGATCTAATTAATATGTAAATTTCTTGTTAGCATTTTCGGTACCGTGTGCTTACTTCAATGCAAAGTGAATCTGAATTGTAACTAATGGTATATGTTGGAAATTGAATAAATAATCGATATTGATATTGTAGACAAACTTATTGTGTAAGGTTGTAAAATAACAGAGCGTATGAATGATATATATGTCATCCTGTAAATGTTTTCTGTATTTTTTTTAAGATAATTCTGTCATTGGTTTTATACTTACCTGTGAAGAAGATGTTAAACGTTCTGATTGAGTGTTCAAAAGATTGCAGCCTAAAGGGGTCTGATAATTTTCACATGCATATGCATGCATGCATCTTAAGCAAAGTTTTGTTCCTTTATTTTTCTATTCATTAACTGATGCGATAAATTAAAAAAAAAAAAAAAAGATGAAAAATTTATGACAAAGATGGCGATCTTTGGAAAAATAAATAAATTTCGTTTATTTCTTATTTACATATGTATTCAGTATAAATTATCGTAGTTTACCTATTTATTTATACAAAAATTTTATACACACCTCTGCACATATACGTATGTATGTATGTATGTATGTATGTATGTATGTATGTCTTATAACTATTTTACACTCCCGCCTTAGTCTCATTATCAGCGATATAGACTTAGCTTTATAATCACATTCGATATAATCGTTCTCTTGCTTGTGTGTGCAAAGCCGCACAATTGTATTTGTATCGTCTGTCTGTTTATATTCATATCCTATCTTATCTTGTTTCATTTCATTCGTGTTTTATTTATTGTTACTGTTGTTGTTGTTGTTGTTGTTGGTATTTCATATTTTTGAGTAAATGAAGAAAAAAAATATTTATTTTATAAATTTTGTATATTCAATATAAATGTAATTATAAACGCGTATGTATGTGTACGTATATACATATATATATATATAAATGTGTGCATACATACATATAATTGTATGTATGCGAACTTGCTAATGTATAGGTATGTAAATCTATCATTTTATACCTATACATATATAGATGCACTATGTAGGTAGTTGAATTTGTGTGCGTGTGTACTTGTATTTTTATTGTAATTTCTTAAACATTTCATATTAATATAAAAAAGAAGCAAAAAAATTACAAAAAAAAAAAAAAACACCATTTCTTGTTCTCTTCTTCTTCTACTGATTTTATTTTCTCATTTCATTTTAGATTCACACACAAAGTCAGAGTCAATGCAGAGTTAGCGTCGTCGTACGTACATCGTCATACAGTCGGTTTTAGTTTTTGGATCAGTGTTGTGTGTCGCCGCGTACACGGTTAATTGTTGTTTCGAAGAGCATGCATTCGTTCGCTTATTTACTCAAATGTTAAACAAAAATATCACTGTGATTAATGCTGTTGTTGTAATAATTTTTTTCCAATTTTCGCATCGATGAAAATTTAAATTTTATTAATATTTCCTTTTTTTTTTTTTTTTTTTTAAATAATTTTTTTTTATAAATCGCATTATAATATATATACATATATATATATATATATGTGTATATATATAAATATATATATATAGATGTATATATATGTATATACATAAATGTATATGCAAGTGAGTAAGATGGTGAACGATGATGATGCCGTTGTTTGTATATTTTTGCGTAACGTGTAACGTGAGAAATATAATGTTATAGTGAAGCGAATCTGCCGGTATGTGATGTATTTTGATTTGTGGTGTGTTTGTTTGTGTTTGTCGGCATGTGTGCGCGAGAGTGCATGCTTTTTCTTGTGTAATAGAATCGAAAAGATTTTCAAACTTGAACTTGTTGTTTGAGGTTAGATTAGTAACAGACTTGTTGTTAGTGTTGGTTGTTCGGTCGGTTTTGTGTCTCTTGCAGTTATCATCGTCAAACATGTTTTCATGCATCATCATCATCATCATCATCATCCGTCCTTTTAAGTGTTATGCAAGTGTACATGTGTGTGTGGATGTGCTTATGATATTAGTGTCTTTAGTTGTTGCTTTATCTTAAATTAAGCTTCAAATATAACGAAAGCAAACTAATATATAAAGCCTTTTTTAAAGCATATGATATACGCGATTAGAACGACAACGGCATTGCAACATAATGCAGAAGACTCTTTACCGCAACAAAATGTTCATTCAATGTTAGACAAACAGCAGCCGTAAAAACAACATTTAAAGGGAAACAAGCGTACAGTAGTAATACCAGCAGCAGCAGCAGCAGCGGCAGTAGCAGCAACAGCAACAGCACCAGCAGCAGCAGTCTCTCACGCAACAATCGTATTCTATTTCTTTGTGCTGTTTTTTTTTTTTTTTTTTTTTTTTTTTTTTTTTTTTTTTTTTTT